ACATGAATATCTGCCCAGTCTGCTGTATAAAGCCTGATATTTGGTGTATCCAGTTTCTCTATCTCACTTTCAATGCAGGCATGCAGCAAGAACATCTCGCTTTTTTGGTTGAACCATTTTTTTTAATGGAAAAGCCAAACAATAGTACTACATAACAAGGAAATGGAATCCATGCGTCGAGCCCAGGCGCGCCCTGGGGGGTCCAGCAAGTGGAACCTGGCGCGTTTGGCCCTGGCAGGCGGGTGGCGATTTCGCTCAGAGCGCGTTTGGAATCCACGCGACGCGCGCCTTTGGGTTGGGAACTGTCGACACCCCAGGGGCTTTATACGAACCATGGGTTTTGTTTGTGTTTAACAATGCAAACCCACTCCAGTTATTTTCTTTTTACAACCCAACAAATGTTGTTATTTGCTCAATTGAACCCCCAGCCCATTTTTTTATACAGAAAGCCCAGGTTAAATCGACCAACGCCGATTGATCAAGGTCTCGTAGCCCGGAGGATGCTGTAGCACAGCAAGCACCGGCACTTTCGAGGAGAGTGTTTTGGGGCGGGCTTGGATCTCGGTGGCCCAGCCATCCGGTTCCTTTGCTTTTTAGCCGCTTATAGTGTTTAGAGGGGATTTCCATTTAACCCACAAAGTTAGCGGGGATCTGAGGACAGCCCAGGGATGTCATTCAAGCTGAAGTCATAGTTCTGCTGTTTCACCTACTACACTCCGCTTGAAATCAGCAAGGTGACAAATGAAGCCCTGGATGTCTTTCATCGCATTTCTTTCGCTCCTTTCTCGAGTGCATTTGCCTCTGGGGCAACGGGAGATGAGTTCCGCGCATCGTGCCTTCAAAGCCAACAGTCGACCAGGATTTCCTATATTTCGTCTTAAAGCATCACCCCTACCGAGAGAAGCTAAATTGAAAAAAATGGCGACGTTTCCCAGCACCAGCCAACAGAAAAGGACATATATTCGCTGCCAACTGGATGGAGAAGAGTCACAGTCGCCTCAGCTGCATCCAGGCCCTGCCAGTGATGAGGACGGAAGTCCGGAGCCGAGCAGCAAGGTTGACCTGTGCGGTACCCGCAAGGCAATGGGAGATGACAAAGCTTGCGAATTGGCCATTTGGGCTTGTGGCTCAACTACCTTGATTTATTCGGGTTACAGTAAGGCCTGTATAAGCCTCTATGACTTATGACCATGTTGCTGGTAGAACCGACGTTAATTGGTTTCGGGCACTGCTCAATTGCGCTTGCACCTATCCATTCGAAATTGCTATTGGACCGGAGAGCATCGAGGACAATGGGTGCAACGTAAACCTGAGACTCCTTGCTAGGCCCTTGTAAGTAGTCGATCATCCAGTCTTTCCGAAGCCCTCAGGTGAGACTTCTTGAGATCGACAGCCAGCTTCAAGAATGTTTGCGTGGCGGCATTTTTTTTCTCACCGAGACCTCACGGAGATCCAGAAGATCCTGAAGAAGGTGAAAGGCCTGGAATCGAGATGGATCGAGCCAGTGGCTTCGATGTGAAGCATATGACTATGTTTTTGTTGGAGTTGGTACCTGTGTTTTTGTTTGGGCGGTTTAAAAGGAAACCACAAGGAATACCATCTCTTTTGGGCACTTGTGGTTGAAACCCCGTTTTCAATCCTGTTGAGACAAATCCGGGCGGGGATCCGTTGGGATTTGGGGGAATGAATGGAGAGCCAGTTGCATGGTTCAGTTCGGTTTCCAGTCTTGCTGGTGCTCAGTAGGGAAAAGCGCAGGGTGTCGGGAAGAACCTAGGGATTCCCTCAAAGGAAACCACAAGGGATGGTTGATAGGGGTCAGTCCTTCATGCCCTGCTGATATCGAACTGGTGGTTTCCTGAGTGGGCTTTGCCGCTTGGGTTCATGGACTTTATGCTGTTAAGACCATTTTAGTGGTAAGCAAAAGGTTCAGACTTTTCTGGACCATCCACTCAATCGGAAATGAGTCACGGACCAAGGAAGGCTTTCGGGGTGTATGGAGTTGTTCGTTTGAGCATGTTTTTAGTCGCGCAGCATTTTTTGAAGGAGACGCGTCGCCAAGCCGGGGCATGATCAGTTTGGTGTGGAGGGAAGGTCTCCATTTTGAGCAGCCTACCCAGTGCTTCCAGGCGTTTAGCCACTGAGTAACCAGCGTTCCTTGCCTCCAGGATGTACATCATGGTTTCCCTTCATTCCCTACTGTAGTGGGAACTGGAAGCTCTGGGCTTTGCTTGGCCTTCATACGACTTTTTAGCTAACCTTGGGGGGCAGAGTATTGGGGGGCTGAAAGCACACACCCGTAAGTTCCTCGCGCTGAGGCGGTGGGTGTAATGGGCAATGTTGAGAGCGAGGGCATAGCTTCGCATGTCTGCACATCCAGACACTATACATGTTCTGGAGGCAGCTTACAGGTGGATGGGGTGGTGATGCTTGCTTCATCATGCATTCTTCCTTGCTGAGTTTTACATATTCAGCTTGGATTGCCTGGCCATCCCCATTGCTTCAGCTAAGACAGCAGGGCAGCTGCAGTGGAACCGCAGACAGCGCTGGTCAAAGCTTGCGGACACCCGCCCGATCCACCCCGACCAGGGAATCGAAAGGCAATCGAATCCCCAGCCCTCATGATGCACCTGGAAATTCAGATGGAACCTGAAATCAATACTTGTGTAGTCCAGTTTTTGGGGGTTCCATGTTAACTTGCAGGGGAGTAATGTGTGCGGGATCCTACACCCACAGCCGGGATGTATCGCGGATTCGAGCACGTCGTATTTTCGTGCCAGAAAACCCATAGGGAGGGTATCACCAACCCCGCGGCATGCCAAATCGTGAGGCCCTTTTTGGGACCCATCGCCTGAATGAAAATACCGGCCCTTGTCTGCAGGCGAATACACCACCGTGGCCCAGAAGGAGGAGATGCTACGTATGCGGGCCGTTGGTTGGGAACACGGGAGGAGGATTGGGGAGGTTCTTTTTGCCCCTCCGGGACTATCGGGTTTGTGTTTAGATCCAGATATGACAAAGAGGGGGTCCGAGGTTGGAGATTGGATTGACAGGTTTACCCCTTGATCTGCAAGAAGCAGCATTTGGTTTGGGAAGTGCCTTGAGGCTTGAGGGAAGAAGCTGACTCGGGTCCACTACCCTCCCGCCCCCCCCGCTCGGTTTTGGACCTTCTCGCCACTGCTGCTGGGGAAGGTCCGTTTGACTTTGCCCAGTTTGTTTGCCGGCAGTGATCCATGGCGATCGTATTCTTACAGGGACCTTGGGAATGGCGAAAAGGTTTTAATCCCTGTAGAACTCCCAGACGATGCGCGCAAGAGGGTTGCTGCAGGTAAGCGGGCAATCTCGCTTCTGTGGTATGAGTTCTAGGCAGCTTTTGCATGGCAACCATATTTCCTGGCACGGTCCTTTTTCCGGTGGCAAAGCAGTGGCAATGTCGTTAATCCACAACCCTGGACACAGGGGACCCCCAACTGCCCCGACCTGTTGTGCCCGCAAGCAAAGATGTAAGACGGAGGTTCAAGAACGGGTTCGGGCTTAAAATTTGACGGGTCCCCCCCCCCCCAACCGGCACTGAGCACCCAGCGAATCCGCCACTCCTGGAGGACGTGTTGGAGGCCATCATGGCTGGAGCAGCACATGCGAGCTACGAATGTCTAGGAGCACCGGAGAGGGAGGGTTGGTCATTTGTGTGTGTGTTGTTTTTTGAAGGGACCCTTTTTATGGTTGGATTGAAGGGAAATCAAGAGGAACACCAGTTAGTTGACCTGCGTTATTGGGCATGATGATCACATTTGCCAGACGATCTAAGTTTACAGCAGTCCTGTTGCGAGTCAGGTAGCAAGTATCTATCGTAATATCGTAGATACATGCAATCTTGTATTCTGTATTTACGGCATCTAGATATTTAAATCTGGCACTATGTGCCCCCCGCCCCTCTGGGGAAGCCGTGGCCTTGGACACCATGGATTGGTGTCCATCACCCATTTTGAGGGCGTTCCCGATTCAAAATAGGCATGTGCACGTCAATCAGGTGTGTCTCTGTGTGTTTTTGCGTGTTCTCAACTCGAGTCTTTCCGGATGTGACTTGCCTGACTTTTCCAACACAGGCAACAGCCAATGCCTTGCGCGCAGACTCAGATTTTAAACACCACTTAAGGGTGCTTTCTGCTTGGAACAGGTGCAGGTGTTCCTCTCTTGTTGCCATATTCTGCACCACCAAAGAAAGAGCCATTCCTTGCGTGACGCAGAAAAAATCTGCCCCAGAAAAGACGTGTCAGGCCAAACCCCGGGGCTACCCCGCGAAAAAAGGGTCCCAAGAGCCTAGGTGTTGGTGGCAGTGTTAAAGTCATGTAAAGTCCAATCGGAGAACGCTAGAGCTTCATTGCTGTGAATGTTGCCCCAGGCTCGCATGGTCATCGAACAACGGTCTCAGTATGTCCAGTGTTTCCAGTTTCGATGCTCATCCTGCTGTGCGAGGACGGTATGAAATGGACCCTGCGTGGCGGGCTTGGAACCTCCGCACGCACATCGGCTGTATGCCTATGCCCATTTATCATATCCGGGAGGGTCGCTTGACACTTTGTAAGGAATGACTGCTGGCTCGCTAAAAGAGACAAACACGCACATGTTCATGCTGCACCATAGATACACATATATGCCTGGGCCTGCCTGCCTGCCTGCCTGCCTTCCTGCCTGCCTGCCTGAGTGCAAGCAACAAACAAGTCACGTGTTGTTTGCTTTGCTTAGGTACACAGACTTGTGTTTGCAGCTTAGCGACGCCGGCAAAACACAGTGCCCACGCGTGCCGTCCTGCATTTGGTGAAAATCAGCACTTCAGTCAAGCTTGCGCGAACTACAGACATCAACGCCCTTGAAACCAATCCCTCGCTCAAGTGTACCAGTTTCCCGTTTCACTCACCAAGAAGGAAACACGGGTGTGAACTCGAATCAGGACCCTTTGGCGGGCATCATTTAGTGGATTCATGGCTTCTAACCACTTTTGAGGTGGTTCGCTATTGAAATTTAGATCTGAGCCGTTGCCGCAACTCGCTGTCGCTATGGCGCGGCTGCTGTCTTTTGCCGTGGCCTTGGGTGTCGCGGCGCAAAAGGTGTCAGAGCACGGACTACTGGAGTACGAGGCCGGGCACATGTCAAGCGATGTTTGATCTAACGGCTCCTGCCGATTTTTCAGCTCAGTTCTTCAAAGCCGACCTTTTCACCTCTAAGGTTTTCCATTTTGGTCCATAGTCATGACCCCACAAGGTGCACCTTTACGTGGGTCCCTAAGTGAGATCAAATGAGTTATAATCAAAATCCGGGTAGATGAAGGTTAGTAAGGGGCAGTCCCAGCCGGAAATAGTTGCGGATATCCGGCTTTCTAATTCTTGGCATGGTTCTGGGTTCAAGAATTCACCACCATTTTTGTACCAGGTTCACAATTTGTACAAATATTGGTGAATTCTCAAGTTGCCATTTTCCGGTTTACAAATCTATTCATGTTTCACACTTAATTCTTGACCGGTTCACCATTTGTGTACCAGGTTTTGATTGTGACTCAAGTGCCCAACCCGACGGCCTAGCACCGCTAGGTGGACCTCTCCGCCGCCCCAGAGCAACGCTACACGCAGGTGCTGGAGCATTTCCTGGAAAAGAGGGGCGACAAGGCTGGGCCGTTTTTTGCGTGGGTAAAAAGCAAAGGGAGACCTCCTTTGGGGTGCAACGTTGGAAGCCCGGCCATGTGAAGCCGCCTGGGGCCATTGCGAGGGCTCTGGGCAGGTTCCGGGGAGGGGTCGGGTTCTGGAGAAGAGTAGGTGGAAGACTGGTCCAGTTCCACTTGAGCGTTTTCCGTCGCTGGGCTGAACATGTTCAGCTCTTGTCTGGCATGCCTCCATGGGACAACTTGTTCGTAGGTGTTACATACGATAACAGATAGATAAATACACAAATAATCAACAAACACAACTAGATAAACAAATAGCAACATCAACATATAGTGATATGTATACATATATATATATATATATACACATATATATATATATATATATATATATATGCATATATAACGACACATGTCTACATTTGTCGTGTCCTCCCCCCGTAGAGAGCACCCTGAGGCCTTCCGTTCGACCTACGATGCCTGGGAAAAGGGCCTCTCGCTGCTCTTGCCGGACGTCTGGGGCGCAGAGGTCGTGGCCCAGAGCCAGCGGCGGTGGTGGGAGGCGGGGGCATCTAGGCACATCGCGGGGAAGATCGCGGGGACAGTGGTCCTGAGACATGGCTGTGGTGGTCAAAAATCGGGTCACCCCAAAATGGGTTGCCATGGTAAATGGAATGGCCTAAAACCGGTCGCCTGGTGGTCGATTTTTGACTACCCACAGGTCCGAGCTCTGCAGAAGGTCCTGTAAAATGGACATTTCCCGTATGCAGATTGATGGGTTACGTTCAACACATGAGGAAGTCGCCCGGTCCTTAAGCTGCACTCAACCCGGATCTCTTCAAAGAACCTGGAAGTGAAAGAGATCAGGGTCCTTTGCGAGCGAGCGCAGCTATGCTTTGCTCATGCAGGTCAGTCTATCAGGAATATCCACCCCACCGGGGCCTGAGTGGGTGCGTTTGTTCACAGTACCCTTCTCAATCCCCTTTCAGCTTAGAGAAAAAGGCCAACCACCTTTTTGGGGCGTCCCCAAAAAGGATTGGTCAACCGCAATTTCAAGAAGCCAGCAATCCAGGAGAAACGATGTCCGCCCCGCCGTTTCCCGCAGGCTTTGTCTGCATCGCACCCGGCCGCCGCCGCAGAGATCCGCGCGCTGGGCGTAAAACTGAAGCTGGGCCACGTGAAGCTGGCAGCTTTGGTGTCCATCTACCCGCCCCCTGGACCCAAGATGACCCAAGGAAACTTGCGATCAGTGCTCAGCGAATGAGAAATGAAATGAGTCTGAACATTCCCTGACAGGAAACCAAATCGGGGATGGTTAGGGGTCATTCCCTCATTCTCTGCCATGGGCTTTCCTTGAACCCCATTTCTGGGAGTTGAAGGGACGGGCGCGCTCATGCGGGGGATGAGCAGTGCAGAGGAGCTGAATGGGGGCCCAGAGGACCCCAAGCAAGCCGATTTAGGCCAACCAGCCCTTGTCCCGTTGGTTTTTAAAGGGTTCCCTGGTTGCGAAAAGCGGAAGCTGGAATCACTGGGTTCGTTCGGGAAACCAAAAGGAAATGAATCTCTTTGGAGTATAGAAGTCCGTCCGGTTTAGGTTTGGTTGGACGGCGCTGTTTCTGTTTTGTGTTTTCCCTTTAGCAGGGTCATCTATTTGTTCAAAACGTCACCTATGACCTGGAGGGGCCCATAAGTTTGAACATCCCCCACGTGAGCAACGGACTTCATATGACTGGCGGTTTCCTGTCATGAGAGGACATGGGGCCTTCCACTACCCCCGATGTTCTGTCCACATTTTTCCTTGGGGCTACCCAAGTGAAGCAACTGAAGGTACTCATGTTGGGGTGGTGTTAAAGGGAGACCAAGTAGAAAAGCAAAACTATGTTGTGGGAATCGATCCTGATTTGAGACAAACCCACATGGGCCGCCCAAGGATTTACAAGCGTCCCTGGTTGATAGGCAGGTGTCTCCCTTTGGTGTTGATTCACTTTTCTCCCCTTCTATGGGACGGTTGATGAATCCTAAGGTAATTGCTGACAGTGCGTTCCACCTGTGTTAGTAAGGCATCAGATATCTCTGGGTCTTCTATCAGTTGTCAGGCAAGCATGATTGAAGGTCCTGTGTGCATCATCCAGAGGGTTGGGGGAAGCGGGTGATGCTTCTGGATACACAACCTTCGCTCGATTGGCGTTTTGCGCCATAGGATCTCCTTGCCCAAGCCATAAGCATGATTATCATTCAGGGGATCAAGCCTAGTTTCCCAAGTTATAACCATGGCTATAACATACTTGCTAAGTTGCAACGCCTTTCAGGGCTTTAGGGGACAAGGGCACAAGGGGAAGGTTGGGGAAGGTCCGGATGAATCCCAGGCTGTTGAACATTGCTCCAAAGAGCCCCTCGGACGCGCCGTCCGAGTTCAGCTCCGCTTGCACCAGCTCACTGCATCTTGGCGGGTTTGTTGGCCTCCCTGGGCGGTCCTTCGAATAGATCTTGCCAAATTGCTTGGCCCAGGGTGTAGCAGAAACAAGTTGTCTGTTTGTTTTTAGGGGACCCTCCAAAAAGGGTGGGTTTCCTTTTGGCTTTCCTTCAAACCAACAGACTTGTCCCAAGTCATTTGGAACAAGAAAGCACCGCCCTGATATGTGGGCGTTTCCGGAAGTAGGGAAACTGTTCCTAACTGGTGGAAGCACCCGCGCGTAACTGACACTATCAGCGGTCATGAGGCTTCTGTTGATGCAAGGCGCCATCACCCAAAGACCAAAAAACAAACTCACCGCTTTTCGCCGAGAGAGGTGATATTGTTTGGAGCGTCTGCTCGGAAAGCTGCGACTAGGAATGGACCGAAGCGGCTTGCTCTCTCCGAACACAGTACTGTTGTCGAATCCCTGGCTTGGAGGCACCGGTGAGTCTCCAGCAATGAAGTTACCCCGCAAAAGTGGGCCTATCGGGCGCAACCATGGTGCCAAAACCAGCCGCTACTTAAAAGCTAACAACACAAATCCATGCAACCCGCCCGGGTGGTTTTAGCCCATGGAGCAAAGAAAGTGACGCACCAGCTTCCCAGAAGTTCCTGTTGGGTTCGCTTTGCTGCCGGGGCTCACGGACTTGGCTGAGAATCTTGCTGCCCACCGGCTGAAGGTGTGAGTTCTGCGTCAAAGCTTAGGACCCCTCCGAATGGTTTGTTTCTTTGTCTTTGCCCAGCTCTCCTAGTTTTTCAGACACAATTCCAGTCGGCGCTGAAGTCAGCTGGCTTCTGAGTTGGTTTCGCCTAGGCTAATGATCCGGGAATTGGACCCCAAAATAGGTGGTTCCCTGTGCACAGGTGAAGAGCAGACCCATGCCACAAGTTTGGCCCCGCCAAAAGAGCGTCTGTGAGCCTGCTCAAATAGGCGCCCTGACCAGTAAGAGACCAGGTAAGGGGAAACCGAAAGGGCAACCAACCACCCACGGGGTTCGGTCCCCTGATTTTGACGCATCTCTGGGTTTGTTCCATTTCAGCACCTCATCTGATCCTCACCCCGCCCCATTCACACTCCATTCCCACCCCCACCCCAACCGCCACCCCCACCCACCCCCGCACCCCAACCCCCACCCCCACTCCCCCACCCCACCCCAGGCTGGCCCTGCCCGGCGGCGTGTTGCACGGCCGGTCCTTGGACTACGAGCCGCGGGGTCCCATGGCCGACACCGCCGTCGTGGTGCACCACAAGCGGAGCACGAAGGCGCGCGGCTTTCTTTTTTTCGAGGCGAATGGTATGTGTTTGGGGGTTTGAAAGGGAAGCCAAAAGGAACACCGGAAAACCGGAGCCATTTTGCGGGGTCGCCCAAAGGGGGACACACCCACATGGAACCTGAAAGAGGGTTCTGACAAGAGAATGGACTGCCACGTGGCTCCGTGTTTGTTTTGGCAGGATTCCTGTTGATGTGTTTGCCTTTTGGCCAAATTAGTCTTCTCTCATTTGACCAGCAAAAAGTAATGAACTTGTCGCGGGGGTGAGGCTTCAGGTGTCTAGTAACGGGACCCCCTTGAAGCATGCAAGCGTTTTAAGTTTGACTGCTTGAGTTGCTCATGGGTAAATATGTTTGACCTTTCATCGGTTGGCTGATATTTTGAAGGTGTTGCGATGAAAGCTATGAGTTGGGGGGGGGGTGACTTTTGCAACATGCGCACGTAGTGGATAAGATGCTTGACACCACGCCGATGCACATACAATATGCAGATGCCGTGGAGCATAGAAATATTGTACGAACATGAGGAGCGGGAGGGCACACTCTATACCTGGTGATCGACCAATCGCCCAAGATGTTTTCAGTAGGCGACCAGTAAATACATATATGTATTCTCTCAAATAGACGGTCGCACCCAAGCCCACTTGTTCGCAGAAATCGGTTTGGGTGTTTTTGTATTTTTTTCGGGGAACCCCCTCAAATGGCTTCAGTGTCCTTCCGGTTTCCCTTGAAACCCACCAAAAAGCGTAGCCTTCGCCTCAAACAAGCGCCACCCGCCACCCGTGTTTCTCCTCCGTACGTCCACGTGGCGGTCGTTTTGGCGGGGTTTCGGCGGGTTTCGGGGTGAGGTGCAGTACAGCTGCCTGCAGCCCTTGGTCTACCCCACGGCGTTGCAGTGGTTCACCTGCGTCAGGCCCAAGGCCTTCTCCCTCTCCGTGAACGCCAGCGCCTGGGATCCGAAGCCGAGTTCAGCTTCCACCTCAAGGGGCGTTCCGCGGTTTCTGGTTTGTAGGTTTTGTGGTTCTGTTCATTTTTGGTGGGGGGATTTCAGGTCCGCTGAAGCCGCGGTCACTGGATTTTGCTGGTGCGAAATCGGTAGGGACTGAGAAATGCAATGACTGAACCCAGGGATCGCCTTAAAATTCCCCACTGGGCACCAGCAAGTACAGGGGTGTTCCGCTTTTGTAGCTGGAATCCCTTTTGCTTGGTTTTCAAAGGGAAACTAAAAGGACCGCCGATGCCACTTTGGGGGTCAAGACACACCCAAGTATCCTTTGCGTATGGTGCGCTTCCCACGACAGGGTCTCCCAAAGAAGTTTCAGTTGGTTTGTTGCCAAAGTCTTTGGGCACCTGCAGAAGGGAAAGGGAGCATCATTTGATCTGATTGCAGCGAGGTTTTTCCCCAGACTTTGGAGCGCTGATCAGACGCTCATGGGCCTATGAACTGTCACATTGAACTAATTCCCCAAGGTCTGGAGGGGTCATGATATCAAACGGATGGATATTTGTGTTGGCCTGAGTTTCCTGCTAGGGCGGGGATTTTGCCTCAAAAGAATGCTGTTTTGCCTCACAGGGCCTCATTTGCCACATGCGGTCAGCTCCACTTTCGATTGGCTTCAAGAGAGGGGAAGTATTTGGGACTTTCTCGCACATGGAACCCGATGGAAGCTGGCGCGAGGATACCGGAGACCCTCCTTTTGGGCAATGTTGACCCTTTTGCGAGCTTGTACATGCTGGAGAGTTGGTAGGGCACCCTTGAAAAGTGTTTTCTCGGGGATGGCAGATTTCACGGCCCCGGATCGCATGTTCGTTGCTGTCCAAACAGCGTGCCAGAGTCGAATCACTGAGACCCCTTTTTCTTTGGCAAACTGCTCAGTCTGGTGGCCTTGCGTTGGGGTAATTAAGCTCATTTTTTGCATTGGAGGTGTGTGTTTCTTGAATGTATGGAAAGGCGGAGGCTGCTACTTGGGAATATGTGACTGATGGAAGTCAAGAGAACAGACCCTCTTCACCCAAAAAGGTTTCCGTACGTTCAATGACAGGGTCCGCTTGAATTGCATGCAATTTCCGGATGTGTTTCTGTAGCCCAGGATCCAGGGGCATCTTCATGGAGAGCAATACCACCTTTGATGAGCGGCTTGGAGTAAAGACGAATGGAAACAGAGTACCAACCCAAGGCTGATAATGCGGATTCCGCGGTTTTAGTTGAGGGATTCTTCAGGTTGGGGGGAATCACCCCCCTATTGATCCACAGGGTTTACGTGTTTATTCATCCGGCTGTCGAGAATACACTGCTTGCAGGGCTGGCAACTTTTCGGAATCTCTCGACAAAGGTCGGACTGGCTTGTTCCGATCCGGAAAAGCATTTCAGCCCCACATGTAAACAGTCTAAACTTCCCATCGACCGGCAGTCTGCCTGCGGGTCCAAGATGCTGCATATACGGCACATGGGCACTAAACTTGTTTGTGGCTTCATTCATGCCCAAAGGCCTAGGGATCTCCACACCAAACATATATATATATACATATAAATAAAGGGAAATTGACCCACGCACACCCCCATTGAAATTTGTTTGCACTAGTTCCGCGAGCTCGCTTACGGTCCCTTGATGATTCGATTCTTGTTGGGTAAGAATGAGTGCGACGTGTAGGGAGGTTTCGGTTTATATTTTGGAGCCCAGTAGCCTGAGTTGCCCGTCTGCACGGCTAAGGATCTTGTTCCGTTCCCCTGACTTTGTTCAGGTAAGCCATTTGTTACAGTGGTATATTCACCCTTGTGCCTTTTTTCTTTAGCCTCGGAGTTTCCACACTTCACCTTCGCCAAGTTTTACCCTTCCACCGACTGACATGGAAGTGCACAGACCCCTTGTAGCACGACTACTTTCCTGTTGGAAGGGGCTTTGTGCACTTCCATGTTAGTTGGTGGGAGGGTAATCTCCTGCAGTAGTCTTCACGTACATGCCGTTGCGTAACTAGCCAGCTCTCATTGCCGCAGCGGCTTCTTCGCTTCAAGCGACCTGCTCATCACTGCACACAGGCCTGCCAAACAAGGGCACCCGCACAGACACTGCGCAGTAATTGATTAGCGAGTGTGTTCCCCTCAGTACGAATCTCCTGGGTGATGGATATCCGCCGACGCCCAACCACCCCGCACTCGCAAGTGGGAGGACAAGATGGTGACCCCTCTCACAAAATATGCGTTTGACAGCTACAAGCAGCTTGAACGCATGCAACTATAAGATAGCTCCGCAACATCCAACAACCTTGCACTGGCAAGTGAGTAAACACTATTTGTGACCCCACTCATTTAGAAAAGCATTTCCAGCTCAAACTCATTGTCGATATTGTACGAACATGATTCAACAAATATCATGCACTCACAGGTTAGAAAACAAGCTTGCGAGTCTGCTGTTCCCTCTCGCAAAGAAAGCACGCTCCCTGCACTCACAAGTGAGTAGAAAATGGGCTGCGCTTGCAAGTGAGATCGAGGAGGTCGCTTAGTAGCTTGAAGGCAAGTCCTGCCACCTGAAAACATGTCACTTTCATGGCGCTGTGTGGCGAATGGCTTGCTGGTTCTCAGGGAAAGGGAAGGACCCTATGAATACTATATGTGAACCATCCTCAATGGCTTCCTAGATGATCCCTACGGGTTCATTCCTCATTCCTACCCCCGTTTGACTCCTGACTAACCGCAAGATATGTCCCGACCCGCGTTTTTGAAGCCCTCTCGCCAGGCTCTTGCGGCGGGTGTCCTCCAGCTACCTGCTGGGCGAGATCGCCGAGAAGGCGAGAATCTCACTTCCCGAGTCCCGTTTCGGACTTGAGTCGCTTGGGTTTGGAGCATTAGGGACGTGGTAAAGGAAAGGTTGGGAGCTGTTTCTAGCCCAACCCAGGACGCGTCCATGTCCATTCTTTCCAGGGATCCTTCTTTTCAGCAAAGCAGCAGAAATTTCAGGGGAAGCAGCGGCCGGTTTTTTGAAAAGAGCGATGGTTGAAACGAATGGAAAAGGCATCAACCCCCAGAGAAGTGGGTCGTTTCTTGGGGCGCCCTGCAAAAACTCAAGTACCAAAAACGCGGTGGGTGCTGCGGCCCAAGGTCTGGAGGTTCTGGAGGTCTAGGGAATTCTGTAGACCAAGCTGAAGCGCGCAAGTGAAAGATTCAGTGAGGGACATCCGGAGTACGCGCATTGGGGTCTGGGCGTGGCACCGCATGAGAGCCCCATAGCTGATGGCACAAAGCTAATAACTTGCCTAGCAAACACGCACACATCCAGGGGTTGATCAATATAAAAATGACCGTGGGTCACTTTTCCCGTTTGGTGGGGACTATCATCATTTGTCTGGTTTCCTGAATAAGACCCTTGCCAAAGTGCAAAGTCATGATTGCTCGCTTGTCCAACAAAATTATGGTTGTTCCCTTTCCCAACAAGACAACATGGTTCTAAATTGTGAATCACAGCCTAGTACAACAGTTCTGGTTAGGTCTTGTTGAAATTGCGCTCCCCAACCGCTTTTCGGTTCCCACCGCCACCTGCAACACAGGGATGACCTTCGGAGAAAAAGGGGGGATACACTACCGCTTGTGACTCAGCTTGGTGTTCATGCGAACCTTTATTCTGTATGCAACACGACTGCAGCAGAAGTCGCAAGCTGTGTAATAAGTTGTCCTGAATTCCGGTACACATAGACTGAGTTTGTGCTAGTGCACAACTATTTAGTATTAGTTGAATCGAAGTCACTGCGAAAAGCAGACCACTCTATGATGAAATACGCGTACAACATCCTAAGACACAAGCTACAGGGAATTCAGGAGATGCGAAGTCTACAAGCCTGGCAGGGCGCCCCATTTGCATGTTCCCAACTCTCCCCGACATGGCCGGCCTCAGGCAATGGGCGCGAGCAGCTACGAGGAGGCCCTGCAGATCTTGGTGTCTTTGCCGGCGCTGTCGTCGAACTACTTCATCCTAGCCGCTTGCTTTGCACCGCAAGCAAAGGACACTGGGGCAGTCGACCAACGGCAACACCTTTGAATAGACATATGGGTGTGTTTTTTGAGGGTACCCTATTGGGGTTGGATAAACCAAGAGGAAACCCACCATTTGCGGGTCCCCTATTCTTCGGACACATACCGTATACCCATATTATATGATCGCCGTGCGCCCTTGGTCGATCTATGCTTTTCTGTAGGAAAACAGCGCGACCTGTTCTGCAAACTTTCGGTCATCCACCGCATGACGTTTTGACCCGATCATGTCTAGAAACTGCACTCTTCACCCCCTCAAGCATGGTAGGAATGGTTGTCTAAACCAATGATCAAATCCGGTGACTAGGGAACAGTCAAGTGTATAGCTCGATTGTCTCAAGCTGCAACACATATTGCAAACTTAACAACATTAAAAAACAAAAAGTTGTCGTCTCCTGGTCTGTTTATGACACATCCACTCGAGCTTTTTCCTGACATAAATATCGAGTCAAAGATCCACTGGTCGAGTCACGCCTGAGGCCGGAGCCGCGGGCCAGGGTGCCATTGTGACGCGCTTTGGCAACTCCTCCTCCGCGGATGTGTGGAGTCTGAACTCCTCCAAAGACTTGTCGGACGGGCAGCCGCGACTTGGCTCGGGCGTGAGCTTCGCTAAAAATAGACCAGTCTACTGTTGACCCCATATGAATCAAGTTCAGTTTATTAATAGGGGGTGTCCCGGGGTTTTGTGGGGAATCACACTTTTGGAGGGGCCCCCACCCCTCCCATTAGTAAACAGGGGTTGATTAATTAATATGGGGTGAACGTTGTAGCCAGTTTGGGAGGTACCTTAGGGGACTCACCAGATTTATTGCAACAGAACTTGGTCTGACTAGGGTTCCCATCTTTTTTTCAGGGGATTCGCGAAGTTCCAAAGTGGCGACCCAGATTCACAAACCTTGCCCAAGGCCTGTGCCCGTTTTAAATGAGAATCTCCCGACTAGAAAGGGACTTCCCACTGACTTCTGCCCCCAGACCGTGCCCAGGAGCTGGCTGCGGGTGCAGACAAACATCGACCACTGGGTGGGCTTTGGGAAGAGCTACTCCACCCACCGGCGCCAGCACATGCTGGACGGGCCCTGATGGGATCGATCCGCACTGTAACGGGGATCAAATTCACATCAGTGGACAAAACCTTTTCCCTGCTGGTTGGGATTTTACACGCCAAATGTCACTTCCACATCATTCTGCCGGGGCTCTCGCACCATTCTGGAGCCCTGGCTCAGTGTAATTTCGGTTTCTTCCCCGTGGTCTTGTTTTATCCTTGTGCTTGTAGTTGCTCGTGGCGAGGAATTCGACAGCTAACAATGGAATTCGAGTGTTTGTGTGTGCAAGACGGCTGTGACTGGGGCCGCATGGAGATTGCCAGCCGTTCACCTGCCCGCGAGAAGGCCCTGCCTTCTCCTTTGGGCCACGAAAAACAGGAGACTTGAGGGCCAGTCAATGAGTGATCAACTGTGGGATTTCAGTTTGCTTGCAGCCTGGATTCTATTTGATTTCAGGGCTCTTTTGTTTGCGCTTGGCGTTCCACTGTCCTGAAATGCCCGCCCTGAAATCGAGTTACGTTTGCAGGTACCAGCAAACTTCAAACAGTTCTGTGTGTGTGTGTGTGTCCTCATTTTTTAGGGACCTGCCCAAAGTGGTAGTCTTCCTTCCGGTTTTCATTTAGACCAACCCCAAAAAGGCCCCAGTGGCACGTTCTTGGCGCGCCAGGACCTGATGAGGACCGCCAGCCGGGCTCAGTTTGAGGCGGCCTACTTCACCTCGCAGGCCTTGCCGGGATCGGAGACCCGGACCTCGCCGGAGGACACGGGGGCCATTCTGCGGCCCTCCACCATCGCCACCGTCTTCATGGATCCCAACGCGGAAGACGTGGATTTGGCCCAGTGGCACGTGTGGAATGCCACCCCAAGGATTCTGCCGCCCAAGGAGTTCCTGGCCTTTGCGTGAGAGGCCGAGGATGTGAGGATCTTATTCCATATTCCCATCCAGGATGGCGGAGGATTTGTCGATGGCCAGCTGCCAAGCATGTTGGACTGGTAGGCTCCCATGGCTTCATACTCCTGCGATTCTGAACAAAAACGAGTCTTGCCGGGGAGCGATGATTCGGTAGCAAATGCCATGATGTGGTCCCTTGAACTTGCCGTCACTTGGGTACCTGGAATGAAAAGGATTGTCAGCACTTTGAAAGGTGGGGCGATCGCCCAGAGAAGCTTTCAGCTTGACTTTCGTCAGCCATTCCTGGGCATCAAGTCAACCAGAACAGAGCTGGGATCTCCCTTGCCCCCCCCCGGCTGTTGTTTTGCTGGTCCGCACTACCTGCCTTGCAGAGTAGCCTTTTTTTTTGTGAGGAAGTATTGTTTTGACAATCATGTTCAATTGTCCTAGGCCGCGAAAGGCTGCAAAAGCAATCGCGAGTGCGTTTTGTAACTTACGCGCCACCAAAGTGCCGCGTCACCGCAAGCACAAAGCGACAGATACGCTTCCAAAGCCAGAAAACCATAGAGAACCCAACACGAAATCCGGGAAAGCACTGCAGAAGGTTTGCGAACAGCGGGTGCCTTTCACTATCGCATTCCTTTGCCTGCGCAGTTTTCAAGAGACAGCCTTGATGCTTTCACACACACGCCCATTTTGCGTATTTCCGGTGTTTGCAAAGGCTTCAAAACAACTTAGCAATCCGCGAAAGCGCCCTGTGAGCGATTGCGTTCTCAAAGCCTCTCGTGAACGAACCTGCGGACGGGGTTGATATTTCGATTTGGCCGCAGGGTTTGGAACACGGCTCATTTTTTGAGTGCGCCAGTGCACTTGGAAGATGTTGGAATCGAAGGCTTGTTGTGGCTGAGTTCTTCATGATGTTGACCCCGGATTAGAACACCTCTCCTATACTAATAGGGGGATGATGGGAGGTTTTCCCCTCCAACACTGATGATTCCCCACTAAACCTACGGACGCCCCCTATTAATCAACTGGGGTTGCTTAATCCGGCGTTAACAGTGTTTGTCGTCAAGGCACTCTTTTAGGCGCTTTTTGGCGCCAGTCTTTGGTCGGCGTTTCTTTCTGGCTTTGCACTAGCTGCTATCCTGGCCTGTGCAAGTGCAATATGACCAAATAAACCCCCAGTGGAATTCGGAATTTGGAGCATGTGCGGGATACATGATGTTGACAAGCCCGACAGGGATGTTTGTCGGCCAGGCTGTAGCATGCTCCTACTTTCCCAAGCAACATGGACGTGTTGATCCTGTGGCTGAACATTTTACTATCCTCGTTTGTCATAGTCCTGCAAGCAAGCGAGGATTTGTTTCTGGTTTCCAGCGGGTCGATTCCGCAATCCTCGCCCAGGTACACTACCCGTACCGCCATAAACACAGCTGCCATGAAAGGCGCAAGATGGATCCGGGCGAGTGAGGGTGGGAGTAGGTTGAGACGAGAATCCTTTACCTCAGGACCCTCTGCAATTGTTGGGTTAATAGTAGTCACGGCTCCAGGATACTTGCTTTATGCCCCTTAGTCGCATCACTGAACCAAGAGCAAACGTTCAATCACTGACTCCACTTGGCATGTGTCGTATTGAAGCCTTTGGTGCAGCTACCAGCGGATGTGTGGAGCCTGGGGATTTTATCTTAGCCAAAGACGACATTGCGGTCAGCAGCTTATGTAGTAGCCCCTTCTTCTTCATAAAGGGCCTGCCAAGAAATACGTTTCCCAAACTCCCGAACAATGTAGGTCAGGGAGAATTCAATTAGTTTGAAATCAAAACCGTATTTGGGGGGCGTTTCAGAACCAACACACAAATGCACAAATCCAGAAACATGCCACGCATGTTGTTTAAGTTCCTTACTCGGAGCCTGGAAAGGGGAGACCTCGTTCGGACTTTGCGCCGACCGAAGAGGCCCAGACTCTTAAGACCGGAACTCGGGCCCCCCCAAGAACAAAATGTGACTTTTGTTCATGCTGGGAAAACCATTTTCTTTATAGCGAGGGAGGGGCAACTTGTTGTTAGGAGGGGCCCATGGGGGATCTTGGGTTCGTGCTGCCTGTGTAAACCAATTCACATTGGCAGCTTTCAAGCTGGCAGCCTCACGCGGCTTGGTTAGGTGTCCTGTGACCCGTGTCAAGATGGAGAACCTGCCCAAAGCCAGCTCCGTGTTACATCGCTGGTGGTTGATGTACCATAAACCACCTTGGGGGATCGACCTGTTTTGGAGGCACGTACTCGCAATCTGTACTCATGCACACGTGGCTTTTACGGTTTCCTGGTGAGGGCATCTCACTTCCGCACCAAGCCAGGCAAAATGGGCGAGATCTATCGTACCTGCTCCAAGATCGGACAGAAGGCGCGGTTGCGAATTGGCCACTTCGCGCGCTCGCGCGACTCTGAACCCATCCTTTGATCTGTTGCTTGCCTGTGCCAACTCTCGCTTCCTGAGTTTCTGGACATTCTATTTTTTGGGAAGACCATTACAGTGCACTGTACCGTTTGTGGGTGCTTCAGACATGCTGCGACGGAGAGCACATGTAGCGGCAAGCGCTTGCCAGGGTGTTGTTGAGTGGCACTACAAGCACACATTTGACGTTGATTTGCATAAGAAGACACCTTGACTTGAATGGATGGACTGAATATGCTCGCATATGAGATTCAATTTGAATGTGCATGCACTGCGACTTTGCAAGCCAAATTTCAGTCCTGTAAGATGTATGCTCCAATCAACGAACATGACGAGAACAAACCAAAGCAGACTTGAAGCAACGTCGTAGCTGCTAAGGAAACAAGCAAAGAACCCGTACCCCTGGCTTCACCGACGCCTTGGATTCCAGGATTTGGATGGTTTGCACGAGGAGGATGATCGCCTGGTGCAGAAGCGGGGATCCCAAAGCGAACTGGGCCGAGTCGTTGCAGGTCGACGTGTGCATGTGCTGTTTGAGGCGACCATTTTGCTCATTGACTTGAACTAGGTCTCCCAGTAGTGCCCTTCTCTCCCCTCTGGGGGAGGGTTTTCCTACTAAAATAGACTACAGACAAAAAGGCTACACTGCCCGTTGGATTGCCTTGGCAGAGCTCATGTGAGCCCAGTGCTGGGGGTCCCTACCATCACTGTGTGGCGGATGGGGCCTTCCGCGCTGGGCTGGTGGATGGGCGGCATGCCCATCGCACCCGCAGGCGTGATCGACCGCGTGCCACGAGGGGAGGACCTAGCAAAGGAACAGCAACACCAAGTTCAAGACGGGACTACAATTTCCGGGTCTCCCTATGTGGACACATACCCATGTTCGGTTGGGGCTGTTTCCCGGTGAAAGCACAGTTTTTGAGGGTAATTTTGAGGATGTCACATTTTATTCCCCCCCCCCCCCGGTTCTGAGCAACATAGCACAAGGGCCGAGTTCTGGAGACCGATTTTTGGGTCATAGAGCAGCTCTATTTGTTCGCTTCTCACTGAATCGAACTCCCTCCTGCCTTTTCGTTGACGACTCTTGGCAAGTGGGTATGGGGCAAAATCCAACCACAGGCAGATGTGGCTGTAGGTGAAAATCAACGGTACCATTTTGGGGGTAGGTGAATTCACCACCCATTTTAGTCTATTTTAGTGGGGATTGGTTGATGTTCACTGGGGGTACAATTTGGCTTTTGACCCATGGCCATGTTAGTCCTTTTTGCCATGTACCGGGGTTCCCTTTGGCTACCCAATGTTTGACCCACCGCGTGGTTCATGTCTCGCTGAGGCATGGCTTGACCGCCTTCTCAGCGCAGCTGGGCGCCCGGATCCGGCGAGTGGCAAAGGCCAACGTCCCGATCCAGTGGGGTCCCTTCATAGGGCTACCCTCCATGTCCATTCAGGGATCCTTTGAACGAATCAACTTCTAGAATCATAGGAACATGCTCGGTTCTTAAACTTGAGGGTTGGGATTTACCGTGAAGCCATTTGTTCTTTCGTGTTTGTTTTGTTTTTGACATTTGAGGACGTCATGTTTGTCTGAGTTCAGAGCGTGGCAAACATGTTGATGTGTTTTTCTAACAAGCTGTGCTTGTTGGTTCCACGGTTTGTTTCGACGCCATACCTCAGAGAGTCCTGAATTTGATGCACCGTTCGAGTCAGCCGAGCCAGTTGGCATTTCAAGGCATGAACGCAATGGACGTTGATATGCAGATTGTTTCTTTCCGGGAACACATATATATATATATATATGATATGTATGTTCCATGGCAATGGCAATATTTTGCAATCGGACCGTTTATTCTTTGCTCTTGGCCACGTTGGGTCGTTATTCGGTCAACCAGTGTGACTGCCTGAGATTTGTGGCTTGCATAAATGAGAGTGTGTGTGTGTGTGTCTCAAGATTGTGGAGCCCTAAAATGCGCAAAGTGGATGGCTTCCTTTTGGTTTCCCCTGAAGCCCGCCGTTTTTTGGGGGTACCCTAAAACACAACCCCATCTTTTACGAGTGTTGTTTTGATGAGCTTCCATCCTTGCCAAAGCTGAGGAAGAATCTAGAATCTGGAAACATCTCTGTCATCACGACTTCCATGAGGGATGATGGACCCAGCTTTCTGCGTGTTGCAAATCATTTGGCACCTGTTGTTCTTTGTTTGCGTATGGTTGGGCGACTGCAGCTGTGCTGACAACAAGCTGAACTGCCAGCCCCTTCCAGCATATGCTGGGACTATTGTTTCCAGGAAGGTCAAGCAGACGGACCCCATACTCCATTTGCTGAAGAATATGGTTGATTTTCCCGTGTCGGTCTTAAAGGGAGCCGATTTCACTGGACAGATTTTCTCCTCTTTCCCAGGCGGAAAAAGCACATGGAAGGAAAGAGGACAACCCCCTCAAACTGGTGATATTTTCCTTTCTGTTTCCCTTTCACACAACTTGGTTTTTCGCCCCCCGTGGCGTTTTTGTTTTTTCTTTCTCCCCTGGTTCCACGGGTGTCTCAGGGCTGGTGAGAGCAGCTTCATCAACCCGGCCTGGCTCGAGGGCTTGCAGTGCAGGCGGGTTCAGCCTCTGGCCTTGCTTTCTTTTGGTTCTTGCGAATCTCGGATTCGCCCCCCCCCCCCCCCTCCAACGAAAAAGGAAAAAAGACACGAACACAAGGATTTTTTTGTTTTTAGAAAAACGAGGAGTTCGGTAATCCGATATTCCTTGGGTTCTTTCGTTGAAAAAAAAGAAGAAGCTCAGAACGGATGCACCATGACGCACCCATTTTGTCTCACCATAGGGTTTCCTTTCGGCATCCCGTTAAAACCAACCAAAACGGGTTATACCCTGCAACAGAGACAAACTCGGGTGGTTTCCTTTTGGTGTCCCTTTAGTATCCCTTCCCAACCCGACCCAGCAAACAGTACGCTAAAACCAACACGCAATGTGTATTGTACTTGTGTCAGCCGAGCTTTTGAGTATCTAGCTTTGGGTCTACGTATACTGTTTTGTCAAGATCCAAAAGGTCTATCTGTCATCCCGGCCAGGCATGGGCAAGGGCATATGTGTCCTGTATAATTGCTTGGAGCACAGACGGAAAGCCAACCCCGTCCCGCTTGTCCAAGCAACAAGTCCCTCGCTGCAGCGCCGCCACGGGCTGTTGGACTGCAGATGGATTTCTTGTATATGGCGTGTGAAGGAATGGACGGTTGGCGCACACGTAGACTCCTCTTGGGGCTCGTTTCAAAAAGGAAGCAAGACGAAACCAAGACGTTGGCCTCGCACGGCCCTGGTTTTTGGCGCCCTCTGAAACTCCCAGATCCATACGGAGTTTATGTTGGTGCCTGATCGAGAATAGCGGCTCTCAGGCAACAAGTTGAGAGAACATCTGGGTGTGCCTTCCTCTGTTGAGGCTGCCTAGTTGAAACTGTGAGTTTTTCATTCCTATTCGGCACCACTCCCATGTTGCATGTTGTCAGTCCCAGTCCGTGTTGCGTCCTTTCCGCAGCCGCTCAGCTCCAAGTGAGTCACGCCCTCCTCCTTTTCGCTTAGCGAAGCAAAACTCCACGCCTGGCGCCCAGTGTTTGTGCGTGTCCAGCAGTGATTGGAGCCAAAATTCAATTTTGAACAACTGGGTTGGAAAGGGAGGGTTCCCCTTGGACATCTTTGGACTCCTCTTTTGGGAGCATGAAATTGGCCAGGAAAGGACCCCCTTGAACAGCGCTTTCTTCGCCGTCAGGTGGGCTCGTGGTTTGTCCAAGCAGTGCCTTCTAGCGTCCTGCCTGCGGATGGAAAGCAGGCTTTTAGTTACGGTTCCACGAGCTTGTACAATCTTTTACTTCCAGATGCGTTGGGCAAGTGACATAGCAATTCAGCTTCCAATTGCGATTTCTGAAAATGAGCCATGTTCGCCAGTTCGTCAGCCTACCTCTCAGTGCGCTCAGCCGTGTTTTGTTCCTCAAGACTTTTCATCCTCGTGGCTGCTTCCTGAGACAAAAAATCCAAGGAAGAATGGATGGTCGGGTCCAGGCTTTCGGCTTGTAGTGCCCTTCCCACGGGCTTGGCTCCTGTTGGAGGCTTCTTTTTGTTTGGCCATGGTTCAAAACCGATGGGATCCCATTTTGGGATAGGTGCACCACCCATTTTAGTTTTTTTGTTCAGTGGGGATTGGGATGCTCACCGCAGCCACGGGGTTTTGACCCATGGCCATATGGCATGGAACAGCTGGGGCAAACCGCAGGTTTTAGCCTTTGGTTTCATTTACCAAGGTGCCATGTTGGTACATGTGTTTGAGCCACAGCCATATGGTGATCCCCGAAAATGGCTGGCTTCCCCTTTTTTTTTGTCTTTTTCTTTTTTTTTGGGGTTCTCCTTTAAATACCAAAAAGGGGGCCACCGGATTGACTTTGTTCGTTTTCGGCTTCGCCCCCAGGCGCGCCATGCCGTGCCTGTTCATCGTAGCTCTCCTCGGCTCCCAGTGTTTGGTGTTTGCCTCCCTGGTGGAGACGGCCAGCTTGATGCAGTCGAGGCGACGGGACCTTTGCTCAAAGCCATGGATTGTTTCTTCAACAGCAAGCAAGGGGATGGCTAGTTGTTTAGACGTTGTGCTTGATACTTTGAAAGAGGACATAGGAAACCTAAGCAAGGGACACTTGGTGAAACCCACAATTTGTTCAGATCTTTCAGAAAGGATATCACCAGGGCAAGAGATATTGACCTGGCACTGGGCCAGTCGTATCATGGAAGAGGTTGTCTAATACCCGACGAGAAGGAGTGACCATGCAATGCAATTGTACTTGCCAAGTCTGAAGTCTCATAGGGCAGTATTCAAGCAACTATAGTGATTGACGGCCTTTACAAGCCTCTAAATATGAAGTGTGCCAGTTTCAGGACAGGTACGCCATAAGACTCACAGTTGCACTTTTCGCAGCACGCTCACAATCCACACAAGGCTTGCGCAAGCAACTTGACCAAAACACCCATTGAGCCCCTTTACTGAAGAGAATTACGATTCGGTGGGTGTTTTAGCTACCGTGGCTTTATCCATGCTTCAACTGGCTGGCTCTCGGTAAGCAATCCCGGACTTGTCGCCGTTTGTCCTCCGACCTCAGGTGGTGTAGATATTAGTATGGGTCAAAATTAAACCAGCAGGGGACCGCAGGTTTTGGTCCTGAGTTCCATTTACCAGGCTTCCATTTCGAGTACCTATTTTTGACCCACAGCCATATGTTGGGTGAAATCCAAAGAAGCATCATGAGTCACGGCTTTGGCAGCCGCCGGGATCAATCAAGACCCTTGAAACATGCGGGTCATCACCCCTTTCTGTTTGAGTTGCTTCCACTGGGCACCGCGCAGAAACGACTGAATGAACATTTTGTACTGCATGGCATGGCTAGCATGCTTGTCACTGTACACTAAGATGCGCTTGTTCTTGTCATTTGCTTTTCCCATCCAAGTTATAACCGCACACAAAGAACGCCACAACGCGCAACCCATTGCCACAGCTCCAGCAGTGGAGTTGTGTCCGAGAGGCTCCGCGGATCTAAGACTGCGGAGACATCCATAAGCTCCACAGAGGTCCTCTTCGAGGAGTTCGTTGGGTAAGAAGCCGACGGGCAGAGTGGGCAGAGCACCAGGTTCCATCTGCAGTTTTTTTTCTTGGGAGCAGAGATTCTCAATAAGATAAGAAACACAGCCATATGGGGATGCTTCCGTCAGCAAAGTCAGGCTATGTGCGGCGATGCATGAGGCGTTTTCGTTAAGACACCTTTCAGGAAAGACATCGCTGTTGTTGTTTTTTGCTGGATCAAGCAAAAAACCATCAGGGGTTCGGGTTTCGATGACGACTGCCTAGGATTGAAGACACATCGAAATTGGGGCTGACCCAGTGTTTCCCCCCGGGAGCAACTCGGTTTTGAGTCAGGCGATCACGTCAGGGGACAGTTGCAGAAAAACCAAACGACTAGAGGCAGACGGGTACCAAGGGGAACTTGCAAAGGACAAGCGCACCACCAAGCAAGGGGAACTCTAGACAAACGACTGCATGAAGCGACTCGACTAGAGGCAGGAAGGGAAGGGTGACAAGGAAAAACCAAACATTGTAATGAACCACCAACTGCAGAAAAGACCCAAACGACTAGAGGCAAAAATGGGGGGAAGGCTGTGGGTGTACAAGGGACATTGTAATAAACCACCACCAACAAGGGGAACTGCAGCAAAGACCCAAACGACTAGAGGCAAAAATGGGGGGAAGGCTGTGGGTGTACAAGGGACATTGTAATGAACCACCAACTGCAAGGGGAACTGCAGAAAAGACCCAAACGACTAGAGGCAAAAATGGGGGGGAAGGCTGTGGGTGTACAAGAGACATTGTAATGAACCACCAACTGCAAGGGGAACTGCAGAAAAGACCAACCGACTAGAGGCAAAAATGGGGAGGGACATTGTAATGAACCACCAACTGCAAGGGGAACTGCAGAGAAGACCCAAACGACTAGAGGCAAAAATGGGGGGAAGGCTGTGGGTGTACAAGGGACATTGTAATGAACCACCAACAAGGGGAACTGCAGCAAAGACCCAAACGACTAGAGGCAAAAATGGGGGGAAGGCTGTGGGTGTACAAGGGACATTGTAATGAACCACCAACTGCAAGGGGACTGCAGAAAAAAATAAACGACTAGAGGCAAAAATGAGGGGAAGGCTGTGGGTGTACAAGGGGCATTGTAATGAACCACCAACTGCAAGGGGAACTGCAGAAAAAACCCAAACGACTAGAGGCAAAAATGGGGGGAAGGCTGCGGGTGGGTGTACAAGGGACATTGTAATGAACCACCAACTGCAAGGGGAACTGCAGAAAAAACCAAACAACTAGAGGCAACAATGGGGGGAAGGCTGTGGGTGTACAAGGGACATTGTAATGAACCACCAACTTCAAGGGGAACTGCAGAAAAGACCAAACGACTAGAGGCCAAAATGGGGGGAAGGCTGTGGGTGTACAAGGAAAATTGTAACGAACCACCAACTGCAAGGGGAACTGCAGAAAAAACCAAACGACTAGAGGCAAAAATGGGGGAAGGCTGTGGGTGTACAAGGGACATTGGAATAGAACCACCAACTGCAAGGGGAACTGCAGAAACAACCAAACGACTAGAAGCAAAAATGGGGGGGGGGAAGGCGGTGAGGGCTGTGGGTGTACAAGGGACATTGTAGTGAACCACCAACTGCAAGGGGAACTGCAGAAAAACCAAACGACCAGAGGAGGGACATTGTAGTGAACCACCAACTGCAAGGGGAACTGCAGAAACAAAACAAACGACTAGAGGCAAACATGGGAGGAAGGCTGTGGGTGTACAAGACACATTGTAATGAACCACCAACTGCAAGGGAAACTGCAGAAAAAAACCAAACGACTAGAGGCAAAAATGGGGGGGGGGGGAAGGCTGTGGGTGTACAGGGGACATTGTAATGAACCACCAACTGCAAGGGGGACTGCAGGAAAAATTAAACGACTAGAGGCAAAAATGAGGGGAAGGCTGTGGGTGTACAAGGGGCATTGTAATGAACCACCAACTGCAAGGGGAACTGCAGAAAAAAACCAAACGACTAGAGGCAAAAATGGGGGGGAAGGTTGCGGGTGTACAGTGGACAAGGTAATGAACCACCAACTGTAACAGGAACCTGCCCGCCCCACTTCGACCCATCCACCGCTTCTTTGCTTGGGCTTGTTTGCCCAATAGAATGAACCTGTTTCCGCTTGAGCTTGAAATATAAATCCTTGAATCCAGCAAACAGATGGTTCACGTGCTAGAGTACCCTTTGAAATAGTTAATTTCTGCCAGTCAACTTGAGGTCTGAAGCTGGGATAGCTTGCACCAGATTCTTTCGCTTGTGCTTGGGAGGGTTTGCCCTGAACCCCAATTCGAGCGAAAGCATAAGGCATCTTTGGTCCAGCAAGGTATTATTGTCTGACCTGCGAAGAGCTTGTTATGTTTTACCGTATCACAGGAGTTGCAAGCATCAGACGTTGAGCGAATTGCAGACATAGTCGGGTCATGTCACCGCTGCTCCTACCTGAGGCCAAAGGGCAAGACAGTCCCGAACTTTGCACGCAGCTTTGTTGCATTGGAAACAGGGTCAAACGAACGGATTGAGCAAAAGTGCAGACGGCCAGAGAGACTGATGGACAGAGTGCAAGAGAGAGAGAGAGAGAGACAGACACATAAAGACGGACGGAGACACACACACACACACAAAGTCGGACAGAAACAGAGACAGAACTAGAGACAGACAGATGCACAGACAGGGCGGACAGACGGACGAACGAGCGTACAAACGGGCCGATGTGCAGACGAACAAACACATGGGACCACACCGGACTGGAAAGGACGAAAAGGCTACCCTGCGCCCTTATGCGTGTATTGTGTGTGTGTGTGTTTGCAAACGATGCAAGACGCGAGGCTTCAGTGACGACGACGAGTCTTGCACGACTCAAGGCGTTTGTCGGGGGAATCGGACAGGCGCTGGTTGAGAGGTTCTGGGCTAAACTCATGAATGTACAAGAACCCTTTGTATGTGTTTTGTGTGTGTGTGCGTTGTTATTGACAATCCATTAATACTGTCGGGCCCACTCTTGTGGCAAAGCTGGCCGTGGTGCATATGGGTTTTATTCACATGTTTGATTGTGCGTGTCTCAAGCAACTTTAATACAGGGAACCCTCAATATGAGTGGTTTGCTTTGGTTACCCTTTCAAGCAACCCCGAAAAGGATACCCCAAAAAGCAGAAAACCGTATATGTCTCCAATACGGCTATCTGGACTTGCTTCAGGCGTTCTTCTGAGACCTATGCGGGCTTGGCATGCTGACCCCGACACCTCATGTCTTTCGTAACAAGAAGGATGAGCCAAGCTCACACCTGGGGTCTCCTCCAAGACTATTTTACAAATTGATTCTTCTGATAGACAGAATATGGGACAGTCTGTTTAGGAAAGGAGAAATGTTTTCCAGTAAATTGTATTACACCTGCATGATGGATTAATTGAATTGTGTGTTCAATGTGCAAAATTGGGACCTGATTTATGTTTTCTTGATTCTGATGTGTTTTTTGAATTGTGGGTGCAATGTGCAACATTGGGGCTGCCGGCTTTTCTGATTTCCGAGTCAGGCCTCAGCCCTGGGGTGTGCGCCCTCTCATCCTTAGCGCGGCCCACCTTGGCCAGCCACAGGCTGCAGTGGGGGGGGGGTTGGTTGGGGGGGGGTTGGGTGGGGTTGGGGGGGAATTGGGTTGGGTGGGTTTGGTGGGTTTGGTGGGGTGGGTGGGGGTTGGGTGGGGTTGGGCGGGTTGGTTGTGGTTGGTTGGGGTTGAGGGGATGGCAAGTGGCGGATTCAAGGCCTCGACTGGGAAGCCTTGGCAGGAAGGTTTGGTTTCTTCATGTTAGCAAATAGGTTCTTTGCTAGTCCCAGTTGCTTGCATGGACCTGCGTACAGAGCAACGACCCATGAAAGGGCCAGCCGTTGACTTAATTGGTTGATATTGTTTGCATTGGAATGACCGCTTGGTCTAATCACTTTGGTAAGGACGTTGGCTATGTCGAGACGGCAGTTCGCCCCCTCATTTGCTAGCATGCACAGAGGAGACGAAGACAGACATCCTACTGTGCATTTAAAGTAAAGGGAACCACGGTGCCCAACTGTGCACGGAGATGTGTCACTCCTTGTGGCACAGACAAATTCTTCTTCAAACACCTGAGCCAAACCTTTGATGAGTTTGTGGCAAAACGTTCGGGCTCGATTGCGTGTACCCGAAAAACCCATGTTCTCAGCCTCAAGTGAAGAAGGTGGCAAACAGGTCTGCTGAACCATGAGTGCACGTGAGGCATGCTGTTCTTTGCAATTGGGTGGAGCAAAGCTATCTGTTACGCGTTGCTGTATCATTTGGGCAGTTTGCCAACCAACGTAAAACATAGCTGAGGGGACAAGAGCCCTCGCTTCATGCTGCATTTGTGCTGCCCAGGCTGCGAAAGGTCGCGGGCGACTGTGATGAGAAGGAAAGCCAAGAAAGGCGCCGCGAACAGCGGGAGCTGCGAGTATGGATGGAAAAAACGGGAATCTCTACTAGGTCCCCCAAGCTAGGTCCTTTCACCCTTTTTTGGGGGAGGGTTCCCGTACTAAAATAGACGTCCTGAAGAAAGTTGGTACCCTTATTCTAACCTCTCAACTAGAGGACCTAGTGTAACGGATCACGTGGAATTGGCCGAAAGCCGCAAAGGGGGAATATGTGCTGGAGCAGCACAACGTAGCACAACAGATATTTGGCCTCCCACTGTTGCATGTTGTTGCTGTCACTGTTGCTGCTGCGGTTTCGACATGTTGGCCTTCCAGTGTTTTTCCTTGCCAAGGGGCCGTAATGGCATTGCAACTAATGGTGTGCTCAAGGAGTCGATTCAAGAACCCGCATCAGGATGCGTTGTGGGGAATCCAGGGCTATTCAAACCTATGGTTTCTATGTGCCATGGTCCAACAGTTGGACCTTTTTCCTTGGTCCAACAGTTGGACCTTGCTGCTTGACAGGGCGCATTGGTTTCCACTTGTCCAGTGGCGCTGATTGTTTCTTGTTGTCCGTAGATCACAGCCACTCACTAAATACAGTGGATGGACAAAGTCCTGCACCAGTTGGTATAGCTGAAACCCTGTGACTACTGGAATAAACCACCTACCAACTGCTGCAAACTGGATGTTGCCCATCCAGAGTATGATTGTCACTGGCCCCAGCATTTTACCATGATCAAATCTATTTCTCATTGTCAAGTGGTAGATTCATGACAAACCACACCAGCTGCGAGCGTTGACAACCCCTAGAAACAGTCAAAATAAAGACCATAGCAGTAGGACAAAGCGGATTTGTTCCCTACAGGTGGTTGGTGCAGGTTCAAGTAACCGCTCAATCCCCGTTCACTTTCGGTTCTATGCCCAGTATATAGCAGTTAACGGGGATGTCTTTTGTTTAGAGGGTTCCCTTGGCCTACAAAACCGCGAAAGCCAACAGAAGACAACCCCTGCGAGCTTGGACAACCCCTAGAAACTGACGAGACGACGCCAGGCTGGAGCGCGCTCTGGTGGCAGAGATCGAGGCAGGCTCAGCTGGGCTTGGAATGCTCCAGAGGACAAGAGGAAACCAGATTCAATGAGACAGACACAGAATTCGCCCATTAGTCTAGGTGTAACTTCCCCATTCTTTCGAGGGATCCTTCAGCTAGAAAACCACCAAACACCCTGGGGAAATGGCTGGTTTTTGAAAAGAGCGATGGCTGAAAATAATGGGGAATCAACCCCAATAATTAGTAGTTTCCAGCAGAAAACAGAAAGGCGGCAAAAGCAGATGGGAAAAGCAAACATAATAAGCCCACCAATAGTTTCGCCCATTTTGCAGACCCCGTATTTGGCACCCATTTAATCAAGCTGTGTTGTACGTGCTTTGTTTTGGCGGCTTGGTGGTCTATTTGAGGCCCAAAAACAAATCAGATGATCAGTGTCTTGCTAGCATACACAGAGTTGGGAGAGACAATGACGCACATGATATAGGAGAAAACAAGCGGGATCTCACTCAAAAAGATGGCACCGCGTCCCATTCAAGTCAAGTTTCCCGCGTGTCAACCCTGGGGAAGACGAACGGAACTGAATTGTTTGTCTTGTCGCATTGTCAAAAGTAGCTCAATGCAATACCAGAACGCTGAATCCGGTATGCGGTGCAGAGGGATTCTGCTTGAGCCAGGGCTTCACACATATTCAAAGTCGGCAATTGCCAGAGTGGCCGGATTGATCTGGCCAGTTGGCCCACTCTAGAAGAGCAAACTTCGAGTGATCTTCACCCTCAATTGGTGGACAAACTCGATACACTTGCAAGTTTAACGGGCTGATTTCTGGAAAACCCTTTAATTGGCGGTCCAACTTTCAATTGGTTACTCCTGCAAGTGATTGATATCTTTGTGCCAGCTTCTTCACCTCAAAGGTCGGAGTCTCCGAATTGCTTTGCGCATGGATAACCTGAACCCCATCCTGCTTGTGCGTTTTCCATGCCACAGATGTCTGGCTCCCTCTATGTTGCTTGGTGGTTCCAGACATCACCTTAGCTTTTCAGCTTTTTAGTGTTTGCCTAAGCCATCTATGTTGCTTGGTGGTTCCCAGCCATCCCCTTAGCTTTTTCTGCTTTTCAGTGTTTACGTAAGCCATCTATGTTGCTTGGTGGTTCCCAGCCATCCCCTTTAGCTTTTCAGTTTTTTAGTGTTTACCTAAGCCATCTATGTTGTTTAGTGGTTCCCAGCCATCCCCTTAGCTTTTCAGCTTTTGAGTGTTTACCTAACCCAAAAATGTTGCTTGGTGGTTCCCAGCCATCCCCTTAGCTGTTTAGTGTTTTGGTGTTTAGTGCTTGGATTTCCACTTTACCTACAAAGAGTTAAGCTTTGAGCGGGGCATCTGCAAAAGGACTGCCCAGGTTGTAGATAGCCGCGGATTTGCCAGTCCCTTCCGGCCAGGCCGGCCTGGCGGGGAATCACAGCGCCTTCAACGCGCAGCGGCTCCAAGTGCTGCAGAAGGCCCGCGATGGCCGCGATTTGGGGCGGTGCTGACGTGGCTCACTTGGGCTCGGTTCCCCTTAGGTGCTCATGGGTATATAATATATATTTAATATATATATATATATATGGTTCGGCGTTGGTGCGAACCTGCGACCAAAGATGAACTAGTTTTCGGTATCTTAAATTGCGGAGCTCTCGTGGTTTCTCTTGTTTTAGGGCCGTATTTCTTCCATCGTGCCAAGGTCTGCAAGCATGAACTCTGACGGAAGTTCTACAAATGCTTGGACGACCATTTGTCCATCAGGTTTGTTTGACCAGGAACCTGGAAAGGGGAACCTCCATTCCTTGTTTAACTTGCCAGCAAAAAGGAAGGTCCAACTGTCAAAGGATGCATCTTTGTGAGTTCCTTTCAAGATTGTTCAGCTTCAGGCAAGGTTGCAGGACCAAGCACGCCTATTGAAGCGTGTTGGAGCCAACTTTAAGACGGGGAGAGAGGCCGGAGAGGGATGTGGATGCTGACATTTAATTTTTGCTTTCAAGTACTCTCCAACTACAACACCAAGCAAATTGTTGAACGGCCCTTATAGTCTTGGCGTTCGTCGATGTTTCCGCCTTGCAGTTGTTGAGGGGAATGTTCAGGTTGGTGTTTGGAGGTGGAGGTTACCATTTATATAAGGGATATATACTACCAAAACCTTATATTGGTGGTATGCAAGCCTCCATACCTCCAACACCCATATGGCTCATAACTGACATGTGTGGTGACTTGTCCAAAAAAGAAGCAATCCATTCCTATATATATATATGTATATGTGGCAGGGACCTTTTAGTAACATTTGTCCTTGCTGCTCTTCCTTCTTATGATCGTGCTTTTGATAATGCCTGAGCGACCTCGTGCAGAAAGCTTACAAACCCGCCCACCCAAAAAACGTGTTGTGTGTTCGTACGCGCGCGCGTGTAGGTGCATGTCTTATCAGCATTAGACCAATCAGGCTTGCGCTGCACTCGTATTTTGACAGCTTTGGATGCTGCACTTACTGTCATTCATGCAATGCTATCAGGCAAAAAACTGTATTCCTACTGTTTTGTGAAGCTGTATACTGCGCAACATCGAGAATTCTAAAAAGAGTTAAACTAAGTCCTGTCAGATCTTTTACAACTGCAGTTCAAATTATCTTCATTAAAATCAGCGTAGTTCAAAAGCAAAGTTCCAAACAATTCATACTGTTGGCATTATGTTAATTCTAACTATTAAGTTATATATATATATGTATATGTATATATTTACAATTCGTCCATAACTATTTTGTAGTGTGCAAGAGTTTCGGGCTTAGGTTATTCAGTTTTCAGTAACTCTGATTACACGAAACTTGCGTGCTTCTTTTTATGACCGCCTACTAATCTGCCTAATCCTTTCTTTTCAAACATGTCATCAATATGTTTTTCTCGTCGTCGTTGCTGCTTGTTGGCTAACTTAACTGTGCATTAATATGTTCATTCAATATATTTGCACTCTTACTAATATCTACAATTTGTTCAATCAATCCACAACAATATGTTTTCACCTTCCGACGTCTATTATATATAAATACCTACAGAATTTGTTGCTATATTTCAAATCACGCCTAATGTTCTTATGGTTTCTCATCCTTCAGTACGTCGATCATCTGATGGCGCGACGCTGCGGCCAAAACATAAGGCAACATTAAGCACATCGAGTAATATCTCCGACTTTGCGACTTTGGACGATTCCATGTCATGTTCGTACCCTTCTTGCTTGTTTTAGCACTATTAGCACACAAAAGCATTTATAATTCCCTCCCGTTGGTATTTCTAACCTGTTCATTACTTCTAACATTTTCTGACGGGCCGTCCACATAAACTCAATGGCTCATATTTGTTTAGTAACATCTTTTTTTCCTTCTTCTGCTGGGGAACCACATGTTTGATATATCTTTGTTCTTAATAAAAGCTTGCTACTACTAGCATCGCTGCTGCTGAACCTTGTGCAGAAAGTTGACACAACCGCCGACACAAAAGAAGTGCATTGCGTGTGAGTACAAGTGTGCCACAAGTAGCATCTCTTTTCAGCGCCTTTTCTCCTTGAGCTAAACACCTCAACACGACTAACCTTGCAAATGCTTGAGCATCATCCTAGGCCAGTAGCCTCGGCTCCTGCTGCATCTCACTCTACGCTCTTAAGCAAAGCTGCTGGTGGCGCCGGCCTTGCGCAGAAAGCGAAAACAAACGGACAAAAGAGGCGGGCTGTCTGTGAGCGCAGGTGCGCCACAGTTAGCATATGGCTACATGATGCTATCAGTGCCCTTTTTCTCCTTGAGCCAAATATGTCAGCGTGGCAAACCTTGCAAATGCTTCAACATCATACTAGGCCAGGAGCCCGGCTCTTACTGCATCTCACTCCACGCTCTTAGTCAAAGCTGTTATGCTTGGGCTTCGCCGACTGGCAGCTTGTAAGATGGGAGAAGCTGTGAGAAGAAAAGAAACAAAGTAAGAAAGAATGAAAAAGAAAAACAGAGAAAGATAAATAGGAAGAGAGAGAGAGAGACAGAGAGAAAGAAAGCAGAAAGAAAGAACGAAAGAAAGAAAGGAGGGAAGGAAGGAAGGAAAGAGAGGAAAGAAAATGGAATTACGGGGAAAGAAGCGAGCTCCTTAGTATATTTCTATATTTGCGAGACGCCCCCTCCATTCGTAGCCTCTGATGCTTCGTCAAGGATGCTGGCAACGCTGACTTTTTTTTGCCGGCCGCAATCTGAACCTCTTGTAATTGGTCAATGACAGAATGAGCTGACCGGCATTTTGCCTACAGCCTGCATCAATAGCCATCATGGGAGTAAGCTTGCCGGTCGCTTTCGAACCGGAGGACGCGCGTTCTTTGGCAGAGACGCATCGCGCACACCTCCTCGCCGCACCCCGTCTTTTCTTTGCAGCGTGAAAGGTGATCGTCTTTTTGCACGGTGAGTCTGCGAGTTTGGCGATGAGCTTGCCGGTCTCTTACGAGCAGCTCGTACTTGTCTTTGTTGCTCTTGCCGCATCAGATTGATTGGGAGACTTGCCTTCCCAATCCCATTGACGTCCATGTTCATCGAGCACCAGCTTTGCCATTGCCTTAAGGTCCACATCTCAAGGCTAGCAACCCGTGCGAGCACCGTGGCCTGGTTGAGCTGGGAAGAAGTGGGATGATACATTGCCGCGTTGTGAGATAGAAGCTTGCCATACTGAAGCACAAGCAGCTTGAGATCCAGAACAGCCTGATGCATCTGCTGTGTCTGGTTGAACCAGCAGTTTATCTCTCGGTGGAGCGATTCATTGCTTGTTGTTCCCACGTGAAGCAGAGAATGGTGAGCAAAAGCCATGTAATGCCTGGACCGAATGTTGTTCATGTACCACTCGAGACGGTCTGGAGATGTCGCGGTCCACAAGAGTTCGCAAACTTTCCTATTCGGTCCCGGAGACACCTTTGCCACCTCCTCTGGATAGAGTGCCGAAAGAGCTGCGAATGCCTTGACAATTTCCATCCTGTCATAAAAAGGCACACTGTAATCCATAGTGTGAAGGGTTTGCTTGGCTGCCCGCAGTGGCATGCCGCCGTCCTTGATGCGGTCACGTTGAGCCTGCTCTCTGGGTGTCAGCTCGGGTGGCGCCGTACCTTCATACACGCAGCCCCAATGCTCAGCTGTTGCCTGTGGATCCCGCACACTGAGCTTGCTGAGGACTGCTCGGAGCGCTTTGCTGCCAGGTGTGCGTTTTTTCCAAGTTGAGTACTCCCATGCAAAGGCCAAGTGCACGGGATCTAGGCTGAGCATCACAAGGTTGGGGCAGACTCGTCGCAGCTGCCGGGCCAGTGCACTTGAAGGGCTGTCGCTCGCAATGAACTGAATTTGCGCCAGAGCATGGGCTGGCAGCTCTGCCAGCGCAGTGACAATAACCTCAGCAGCTTCGCTGGGCACGGCGTGAAGCAGTAGAACTGCATTGGTTCTGCCGCGGACAGTCAAAACCTGTGCTGGCACCATAGTAAAATCAGTTTATAAGCTGAAACCGATAGAGGCCAAGTTGTAACAATGACTGAAAGGAAAAGCAAGAGTAGAATAAAAGAGAGAGGAAAAGGATGTCTTTAATGAAGCAAGGTGCTTTTCGCTTAGCAGCAGCGTCGTCGAAGGCTGCCTGTAAACGGTCCGCCTGCGGCGCACGTGGGTGGCATTGGCCCAGAATTGAGAGACAGCATCGCATTGTGGCATCGATTGAGATCGCCACGAACTCTTCATGTTGCACTGCTTCTTGCAGCAAGGAATCTTTGCGATCGCTCAGCCTAGGGGAAGTGAAGATATCTTCCACGATCGGCCACCAGTCCTTCACGTTGGAAGGAAGCAGGCTAGTGGTCAGACAATTCCTGGCGACCGCTTCCTGCGTAACTCGTGGAATCATGGCTCTGACCTTAGAGCAAAAGCTGTTTACGCAAACGCGCCGTTTTTCAGTAGTGTGGAACCTCTCTTGATGATTGCACGCAACACCTAGCGCGAGTACTTTAGCCAGGTTGCCTTTGCGTTGCACAAGAGCATCTCACGAACGACCAAGTGCGCGAAGCAGCGTGTGTAGTAAATATTCCTGACACGGCGCAAAGGCTCACCGTCGGTCAAGGCGTCCAAGTTTCGATAGACAGGGCCGGCCGCCGTGAAGACGATGCGAATGAATTTGTCAATATCTGTTCGGGATGACAGAAGGGACGGCGCAACAGTTTGCCGCAGAGTGTCAGAACTGCGCTGGAGATAGTTTTGGCCATCCTTCCCACGCATGCAATCTTCGTCATATAGCGCCAACAATAACTTGACTTGCTTCGTGCCGCTAGGGCAGAACTGCACCTTCACCGTGTGGTACTTGGCAATGTGCTGCGAAACTCTAGTCAGTTTTGCAAAGGCCCGAAAAGGACACAATGGGCAGCGATATTTTTCGTCGACTTTCGGAAACAATTTTTCTTCCAAGGTGACCTGTACCTCCGCCTT